TCTTATGTATGAGAAAGAATGATCTGTTGGAGGTGAAGAAAACATACTAAAAGAGGAAAGAAGACTATGAAGGCAAGAAGAGGAACAGAAATAATTGTGGGTGGAACACTGTTGTTATATTGTAATTCATCGACTTTGTTTTTTAAGAAATAGGAACAACTGAATCCTGTGGTTGAGGGTTATGGTTAGCAGAGAAGCCAAGGAAATAGCTGAACAACTTGCAGAGGAGACAGCTGAAGATAAACAAACCCTAGACTTCCCCTGCTCATATGACATAAAGAAATGGAAAAAACTAAAAAGAAAATAAGGTCTAGAGAGAAAGAGAAGTGTGTCTCTGTGTAATTTCAGGGGAGTGACAGACCTGCCTTTTCATCTGTACAGCTAAAGAAAGACACTGGGCAACTGAAGGAATAGGTCTAGTACTGTAGGTCAGGGTAAGAACTGTCCTGTTGCTGAGATAAAACTCCATACCTTTGAGGCATAGAAGGTAGATTTGATTTATTAAAAAATTATTTTAAAAAAAGGTGCAGAATGTGCCATTTTCCCTGATAAACCAGGTTTAGGGAGATGGGGGGAGAGCAAACTTATCTCTTTTTTACCTGCCATTTGGGTCATGTTCAGCATACAGGTATGCGTGTGTATGATCACAAACAAAGTGTGCATTAGTCCACTCAAATATGTGACTCTGTTCTGAGTGTAATTGTAACAATATTTGTCAGGTGGCACCCTTGATGCTGGCACAGCATATTCACAAATTAAAACAAGATTTTGCTGTGCATATCTAGTATTTTTCCTGAAACGTGCTGTGTTAAAATCAATGCTCACAACATGGCAGAGTCTGTTGGGCAGCTCTAGAGATATCTGCTCCAGCTTTGCTGCTCTGAGGTGCTCAGAGCTATGTCTAGTGGCTTTTAAGTATCCCCAAGGCTGAGGATTCCATAATCTCTCTGGGCCTCCCATTCCAGTGTTTGACCACCGTCACAGTAAAAAAGTTTTCTTGTGTTTCAGTGTTATACCAGTCAGCTTCCTGGCCTTTATGTTTGGAAGCAGCTACCAGGGGAAAATTTTTTATCACCTTCCCACAGATTGAGATGAGTCTGATAAATCTGTAGTTTCTCAGATTTTCCTTCTTGCCCTGCTTGAAAATGGGAGTGACATGTCCTTCCTTCCAGTTGTCAGTAATGCCTCCTGATCACCAAGATGTTTTACAAAAAATCAAGATACCTTTCAGTGACATCATCCAGCACCCTCAATAGCCATGGATACCTCTCCTCGTGTCTCATAGTGTTTGAGTGCTCCTGTGTGTTTGAGTCCTCTCTAACTACAAGGGGTAAGTCTTCCTTGCTCCTGCCTTTCCTTCAGGTCTGAAAGGTCTATGGCTAAAGACCAGTCTTACCTGCAAAGAGCAAGACAAAGAAATACCTTGGGCTTTCCCATGTCTTCTGTCACTGGTAAGTGAGGTCAAGCATCTAGGTAAAATATTTAACAGAACTGAACATGTTTTACAGAATTACAGTTAGTTGCCCAAGAAGGATTGGTTTTTATCAGTTTGAAGGGCAAACTAAGCAATGTTTAATTGTCCTGACAGGTAGTGGGGTGAGCATCCACATTCAACATTGGCTGAATTTCCTTAAGTAAATGAAAAATGCAGAAATGGCACTGTCCTGAGAGTGTACTATGGAACTCAAAATCCTAACAGATTTAGGCATCTCTCCCAAAGATTCACCAGCATCTGAGTAATTTTGATGAACCATTCCCATGGGCTGCAAAGCTTTTATGTGCTCCTCATAAACAACAGAGTGAAAAGGTATTCTGAGTGGCAGCACCATCAAACAGGACAGGTAAGAAACTCCAAACCAAAGTTTTCCTCCTGATGATAAGTGCATGGTGTTCTGTGATAGTGCTGTCAATCAGATTTGCCCCCATATTGGGGCTTCTCACCAGCTTGTCCTTTGGGATTGAAAGGAGCACATCCAACTCCTGCCTGCAATTGCCTGCAATTGGTCAGAACTCAGCCAAAAATATTTAGCCCTTATTGACCTGCAACTCTTCCCCTTTCATCTGCAACAATAACAAGAGTGTGATCCTCTTATCAATAGTACCTGGATAGCTATTCTGTTTTGGGTCCAAATTTAGAGCAACCTTCTAAATGCTTCTCTCACCAGAATGCTTCTCGCTACTGGTGCTTGACAGTAGCACCTAAAATACAAGCTGACATTCTGCTACTATTCAGGGCTGTCCCACTTTAGCAAAAAGGACATAGTCAGGCCTCTCAGAGACATTCAGCACAACCCTCAACAATGCATGGCTTTAGTCCAGCACTGTTTCCAGAGACAAATTGTTGTTACACCAGCAACCTGAACCACCTGCGTGCATGAGACTTTGGAAGGTGCAAAGAAAAGCAGTCTTTGTGTTTTTCAGTGGCTTAAGTGCAAAATAACTTCTGACACTTGCTACTGGAGAGTTTTAAGTCTTAATTCATTCAGACAACAGAGACATTGATCAATGGCTGTCCTGAAACCATGCATGTATTATAGAGGAAGAGAGCAGAATTTCCTATTAATGAGACTAAAAAAGGAAGTTGGCTGTGGGTGCAAATCAGAAATACACTGCCTGTTGGGTACATTTTTTAGCTCTACATTAAATCTCTAAAGCTACATAAGTCATTCCTACGTCTTTAGGTGTTTTGCATTTGCTTCTGTATCATATGAAGGTCACATCAGCAATGTTGGTTGAATAGGTGAAGCACTTCAGTATTGGCTCCGTTTAATTGCATTGAAGTAATTGGTGCTTATGCAACATGATTAAGCCCATTATTGTCCCTTCTGAAAATTTTCTCAGTCTGCAAGATCTGAAACATTGTTCACCTCTACTTACATGCCTCATCCTTTAATGATACCTTGTTTGCCCCCACAGAACCTGGTTCCTCTCCATCCTAGCTCTTGTGACCATTCTCACTTCTACCTGTGACCATTCTCACTTCTACCTTTGGTGTCATGGTTTAGGTCTGGCACAGAGCCAGTGCCCCCATGAGAATACCCTCTTCCTGGTGTCTGCTGTGAGATGTGACCAGGAATAAGCAAAGCAGGCTCCAGCTTAGAAATAAAGTAAACCTTATTAACTAAACTACAAGAAAAGAAGAAAAAACTATAAGGGAAAAGAAAAAAAAAATGAAAACCTTACAAAAGCACCTTCTTTCCCCCCCACCAAAATTTCCCAATGCAATACATTCCCCCAAATCACCAACTCTCAGTCCGGCACCACCCTTTAGAAGACTCAATCCTCAGTTCATGAAGAGGAGAGGAGTCCTTCTTGCACCATAGGCTTCCCCTGGAAACACGCTGAAACCTCGTGTGCTTCCATGTCACTCGGCACCGCCCGGAAAGTTCTTTTGCCATCGTGACATCTTCCTTCCATGCCCAGTGCTCTCACCACTGTGCATGGACCAGAGCTGCTTTCAGGGTTGTCTTTCAAGGATGCCTTGTCTCACTCCAAAACAGGCACAGTCTCTCCTTCGGGACATCTGTCCCCCCCATTGTTTTCACCCCCTGGGGCCGAGGGGTACCCACAATGAACCCTCCTGGTTCTGAGGCACTGCCTCCCCCTAAATGCAGTCTCTGTGTCACAGGAATAAAAATGGTTCAGTCTGTGGCCACACAAGAAAAGTCCAGCCAAAAGGCCACTCCATCATCTCTCCCCCCCTCAGCCAGTCTTCTCCACTTCCCTCGGGCCAGGTCCTTGTTATCTCATCTCTTATCTCTCTTCTTATCCAGCTCCAGGAGGATCAGCATTTTGCAAGCTCCCAGTCATGTAAGAAAAGGGTTAAAAATTTCAGTCTCTGAAATTTTTAACCAGAGCTCTGTCCCAGAGCTCTGGCACTCCCACACTGCTCTGGCCAGGCACCTTCTTGCCGCACTCCCCCCTTCTCCTCCTTGGCCGGCCGCTATCACATTCCATCGTCGGCTCTCCCTCTCTCTCTCCTGGGGGGGGGGGGGTGGTGGCTGCCCGATATCTCTTGGTGCTCCTCCACCCTTCCATCCTCAAGGGCCTCCTCACCCCCCATCTCTGTCCAGGCCCAGGCCTACCGCAGGGCTGCCCCTCCCCTGCCCAGCAGCAGCAGCTGGACGGGGGAGGGAGATCCCACCTCTTTGCCTCGAAGTCCCAAGAGAGCCTCTGAGGGCTGCAGGTCTGGTTTTTAACCCCTGTGTGTTCTCAGAGGTGTGTCCAAACCCCACTGGCCACATCAGGTGCCAATATCAAAATCTGAGCACCCATTGGTTTGACCACAGCAACCCAGAATTCCCAATTCTTCCTGGTCAAATCAGCACATTTGGTAATCACCTCTCATGATTACCAAAGGCATTAAACAATCTGCACTAATGATACAGTCTGTAGATATGTGGAACTGGGGACTAAGACCAAGTAAGGAATCCTGGGTGGGAGACTAGATAGGAGACTAGAAACTAGGGATGGCAAAGATCCAGGCTGAAGGGCCTGAGGCTTGAGAAATGGATAAAAATGTCTAGAAACATCTAAGTCCCAGTTCTTGGCCATTCCAGAAGGCAATGGATGCAATGGATGCACAGCCTCTGCTGTGTCTTCTATCTTCAGTGTCTGGCAAACCTGGAGAAGACAAACCTGCTGCTGTCACTACATCCTCTGTTAGCTCAGTCCAAAGAGGTTTCTGGTGTAGATCTAAAAGGTCCAAACTATTTTATTGCTTTAGACAGAATTACAGATCATCCATGATTTTCTCAAATACCAGATAATGCAAACCCCAAGCTGAAAAACAACTGTTAATGCAGTCCAGAGCAATCTGTGGTGAACTGCACACTATCCACAATGGCATCTTGTCCAAAATACTGCTACACAGCCTTTGAGTGTGAAATTTTTACATTTTACAATTGACATTCTGTAGGAAAAATTATGCAAAACACAGGTGGAGCTAAAGCATCTCAGCCATATCCAAAGATTCTCTTGGTCTCTTTCACATTATCCTGTCATTCTGCTACACTCCTTTCTTTCTTCCTCACTGCCTCTCTTGCCTTGAGTATTGGAAACCAAAAGTTGACCTGAAAAGACAGAAATATGATCTGTAGGATAGTATTACTGAGTTAAGATCACCCAGACATTGATACCCCGTATATTCAGTATTGAAGGCTGTTAAAAAAATGAACTTAAACAAACTATATGTCTGCAGCTTTCTATCTGGATATGCCATAGGTATATGCATGTGTGCTAGTTATTTCCATTAGTGTGTCTGTGTGTGTGTGCATGTGTATATATATATATATATATATATATATATATATATATATATATATATACACACACACACATACAGGATAAATGTTTTTACAGGCAAAAGTTCTGTTTCCTAATAGTATATGCATTCATACTGTGTTTTGAAATAGAAATATACCACATTCCATATTGCTAAGCAATATCAGAATATCTTTCTCTACATTTAGGGCTACTCTTACTTCCTGGCACTTGCTATCTAGATTCAGGAATACTCTAAGTGCTTTTCATATGTTCATGAAAACAAAGTTTCTTCTCTGGAGGACTCTGAATCTGAGAAGTATTTTCTTGCCAGCACATAGTCATTTGACCATACCAATGTCATGTCTGAGGCATGTGTGCTGAAGTACAGAACAAAACTATTAGATGATCTAATCTTACCATTAGGCAACATGTGTCTGGCTCCTGAGCATTGGGGAAAGTCTATTAGCACATAATTGAAGTTAACAAGTGTTCAAGTATTTCCTGGATCTGACTACCACCCAGTTGGAAGGTTTATTTTTTTTCCCCAGAGCTCATGGCTTACCGTTCTTGCAAACATGTTCTTCTCAGTTTTCTCTTGTAGTTTTTTTCTTTTTTTGAGTAATTTTGCATGTAAATAATGTATCCGTTTCATCTCAGTATCAGGATAAAAGGAAGTTGACACGAGTATTTTAAGTTGGGTCAGGAGGCCAGAGAATAACCCAAAAATTACTAAGAAGAAGATGATGACTCCAAGCTGAATCCATGTTGTGGAGAGAGCAAGCTCGGGATGAGGGATGCAGTTTTGCTTAACCAAAGGGATCTTGAAAGAATCAGTCTTGGCAATATGCTCTTTCATAGAAATGATATAGCTTTTCTCATTCTTCTGCACAAGAAAAGTGGAAAAAAGGTGTTGATTATAAGACAGTTTCCCTCCTTTCTTAATATTTTTTGCACTGTACATTCAGATTTACAAAGGACTCTAAATCATCTAGACCATCCAGTGTCTGTATACAGACAAACAAAACAATATATATAATGTATGCTCATAATATAATATATGCTCAAAACAATATATATATTGGCTATTTATAAATGTTTTGGACTCTATTTTCACAATTTCTCTTGGTGGACAATGTCCAGCACTTTGGACTGTTAAAAATCTTCAGAGCCTTCTCAGTGGCTCTGACAGGGAAATATTTAGCTAATGAGGATATAATAGTTTATTATTTTTCCACTCCTATGACTCTGCTCAGATGCCCTGTTGGAGGGTCCTTTGTTGAGAGTAAAACTGCAGAGCAGAGTGTCTGTCCCTTTGGTTTTGTCTCAGCACATGATCAGCAATGCTTCCACACCATGGTGGCTCCACACCAGCCAGAAATCAAACTCCAAATAAGCCTCTCCCCTTCCAGTGAGAGAGGGACAAAGGCAGAGACTATGGGTGGAGATAGCAAGTTACTGAAAGCAGCAAGCAATGGAATAAGACATGCACAGTAACAGCAGCAATATTATTAATGAAAGTACATAAAAAGAGAAGGTGGTTTACCTACAAAAGGTATTCACCATCTCAACTTATTTCCACCTGGCCCTGGGACAAAGCCAGGATGGTGGCTCTTCCTATGCCCGGCACCACGTGGCTGTCCCCAGACAAAGACAAGGTGGCAGTCACTCACCACAGCACTCTCTCTGTGCCTGAGCCTGAGACAGCAGAAAACAATGACACACAAACCCCTGAAAGTATGAAAGTATGATTGTCCTCGCCACACTGCGCCACCGCCTCGGACACTGGACTCTGTGCAGCAGTTTCCAGTACTGGTGCTACTGACTGCTCCTCCCAGCTCCAGTCAGCTCCTCCCAGTTCCTTTCAGCTCCTCTCAGCTCCTTTCAGCTCCTTTCAGCTCAGCTCAGACTTGGCTGGGCTCAGGCTCACTTCTGCTGCTCTGTTCCCCACAGCAGCCGCCCACACCAGGGCTGCTTTCAGCACCGTGTGCCTGAGTCAAATCTTGGATGAACAGGAGGGCAATGGGCAGCAGAGGGGCAGGGCTGATCCTGACAACCTTCCCAATGGAGAGAGGGAGGCAAAAACATTGCATGATCAGGGATGCTCACCTTTTCTTCCCCCTGAAACCACACCTGCAGTGATGTTGTAGGTGGCCTAGAACAGCAACCCAGCCATGCCCATATGGCACTAAGCTCTGTCCCCTCTCTGCAGCCGCACACTCGCCCAGGCAGTGCTCTGACCAAAGGCTGTCACACAAATGAGGCTGCCTGACCTCCTCTTGCAGCTGCCTCTGCTTATCTGATGTCTTTCACTGCTTGTGGACTGAAATGCTCAATAAGAAGGGTAAATTAGACACGCTGCTGGGACCATACTCTCAGACAACTTTCTGTTCTGTGAATTAGAACACTGTAGAGTCACTAAATAACCCAGCCTCTTTTCTGATCGTGTCAAAGGAATAATAAGGTCTTCTAATCACCCTACAGAGGCCAAGCACTTCTGTTAGATGTTCATTGGACAAATGAAGTTCACAAAGCATATTACCCATCTTCAGCCTGTTAGCCCTTCCTTGACATTTTCCTGTTCCAAACTATCTCAGGCCATTTTATCCCTAAACTGAACTGATTTATAGGCAAGAAAAATCTTCATTAGGACCTCAGTATGAAACAGGAGTACTAGTGCATGAAAAACTTTACTGTTCATGCTAATTAATAAACATCTCAAGTGTCTGAGTCTGTCCTGCTCACCCAACTTCCTGGACTCCCTGGGATCAGCAGCCCTGAGGCATGATATAGCAAATCTGTTGAGATTAAATTTTACATTTTAATGTAATTAGCTTTCCTTGGGGAACTAGAAACAATCTGATGATGGCATTAGTTTTCTGTTCTGAAGGAGTCAAGCAGCTTTCCACATGAGTGAATGATGCACACAGAGAGAGAAAATTCGTAGTGCAGGAGCCATGAATCAGCCAGACATGGTGCTCAGGACTTCTGTCCATGGCTAGTGGGACTAAGATACTTTGCCCTGACTCGGGTCACACCCAAGGCAGGTCATGATAAGAGGCTGCCTTCAAGGTACAAAGGATAGAAACACAGGCAAAACCACACACAACAGTACGCAGCAAATAATGAGTACACAGCAAAGTGCACAACAACAGGTTGATTAAGGTTGTGATCAATTGGCTCCTTATTATCTTCAGGAATGGACATACCACACCCTATCTCAGAAACTTGTTCTATTGTTTGATCAACTGAAGAGTAAACAAAAAAATGTATTTCTTTCACTTAGTCCTAATTTTCTCTTCTCCCTGAACGGTGCACCACTGAAAGGTCACAGAATCATAGAACAATTAATGTTGGAAAAGACCTCCAAGATCATTGAGTCAAATCTTTGACCAAACAACATGATTAAAACTTGGTGCTATTAGTACCATTCTCTAATCAGTTGTCCTTGGTTTGAGCATGAGGTTGGTCTTGATGGCCTCCAGACTTATCTTCCAACCTAGCTAATCCATGGTTCTCTATGCTGCTGCTCCTGCTAGAGGAACCTGGAGATTTTGGCAACAAGTCATTATTTTTGGTGTATGCGCCCATCCATACAAGCAATGATGCATCCTCACAACACTCAGTTAAAGTGTCACAGTGACTTTTGACTATAAAAAGTAGTGCTTCACAAATTTCAGTTCTGTGGGTTTCCAATTGCAAGCCTCTGGTTTTCTTCATATACATAAATGGAGGAATGAAAATCCGTCTTCTTAAATTTACCATTCTCTAGAAATATGACAATGCTCTGGAAAGAACTGTCTGGTTCCATCCAACCAATGTATGTTGAGGCAATGACCCTTTTTGAAATTAATTATATTCCAGGAAAGAATTGATGGCTCATTGCTATATGTTTGCTCTTGCAGCTGCTGAAGATGAAGAGAAATTTTTCAGCAATAAACTAAGAAATATATGGTACTGAAAAGTACTTACATTCTGAGAGAGTCTGAGTTGAATGTCTAGATCCGGTACTTCTTGGAGATATTTGTTCACAGAAATAATTAACAAATAAAACAAAGAGTCTACTGCAGCAAACAGAAGCCAGATGCAAAGATGAATAATTATAGGGAGAAAATAACGCAGCATTTTTTTCCTGTCCTTTCTTGTGAAGAAGAAGGATGGGATCATCACATAATCTTTCCTCTCTTTAGTGTTAAGTGGCAGAAGACCGGGTCTTTGCTGTTGCTTTTGCTGCTCATCAAATGCAATGAACTGTTTTGTGATATAAGCATTCTTAAATTTGGTACTATGAGAACCCACAAATTTTTTGATAAAGAGTCCAGTTCCAAAAGAAACTAGAAAAATCCCAAATACAGGCAATATTTTCTGACCTATATAGGGCAGTATAGTCAACATAAAAGAAATCTGGTTAGCAATTCTCTGGATTTCTTGCTCTGTGCTATTTAGCTCTTGTTTTAATGCATCATCTAAAATTGAATAAGATGGTGTCAATTCATGCTTTAGGATCACTATATGTTTAAGTTCCTCAGCAGGAAGGTTGGCCATCTCATAAATCCATTTTATTGCCTCAATATAATATTTTATCAAGGCAAATTGCTCCTGCTTTAAATGACAGGTTATACTGTCTGCCAGAACCTTTAGATTGTGAAAAATATTTTGAATGTTGCTGGCCACAACAACACCTGTGCCAGCAGCAATAAGAGCATCCCTGCCATTTTTCAGTCCACAAGAAAGGAGGAACAGAACACTGAAACAGCGCAGGTGCTTGAAACAAAAGAGCATGATAGAAAACAAAACCCAGATGAATCCAGAAATCAGTAAGGGCCCCAAGGAATGGTGTGCCAAGGAGAAGTGCATACTAAGGAAGAGCAGAAAGCTGGAGAGGAAGCCAACTGCAGAGCAAACTGCAAAAAGCTGCATCTGATACTTCCATCCAGGCTTCCTTTCAGATATAAAAATTTCCCATGCATTCTGAGCTATTGAGATGAATTTTTGCATTTTCTTCTGATTGTTGCTGACACTGCAATGGCTCAAACTAAAAGGAAAGGAAAAGAGAAACACTGTTATTTACAGGGTCACACTAATGACAATGATGTGCTTTTAACTGACTGTCTGATACTTCTTCACACTGCAAAATCTGCAGGTCTGACTGACATGAGGGTGAACCACTGCACATGAGACCAAAATCTTTGTCTCCAATGTCACAGATATAAATATTGAGGAGGTGACTCTAAAAGGATTTCTATCTTTTACCCTTTTATATTTTGCACACTTTGATTTCTCATTAGCTGTGTAGAGACAATGGTTCACATGCACATGTGTGTGTGGGTGTGAGTGCATGTGTAAGAAAGAGACCAGCCTCCTGTAGCACCCACTGCTCCCCACAGATGCTAGCTTTGCCTTGTAAGCACCAAGAAGGGAAAGAGAGGAGCACAGAAACTTCCTGTTGGTAGTCCCATGAAGGGGGGCATGGCTCAATCTGCGGGGAGCAGCCGGAGCAGCTGCCAGGGAGGAAGGAGATGGCAAAGCAGCATGAGCACGCTGCCCAGGGATGGAGAATGAAGCACAGCTTCTTCTGGTGGAGGTAGGTTAGTACAGAGCAAAGTGTCCCTCAGAGGCACCATTCCTTCTTTGGGTCTCCCCTGGGGTAGCACCCCTGTCCATATCCAGCAAGCTGTCCATGAGCCAGCAGGGTGCCTCATGGCCAAGAAGGCCAATCCTGGGGAGCATTAAGAAGAACATTCACAGCAGGTTGAGGGGGGTGATCCTGCCCCTCTGCTCTGCCCTGGTGAAGCACATCTGGAGTGCTGTGTCCAGTTCTGGGCTCCTCAGTACAAGAGAGACTCGGAGCTCCTGAAACAGGCTCAGTGAAGGGCTTTGAAGATGATGAGGGAACTGGAGCCTCTCTCTTGGCAGGACAGGCTGAGGGAGCTGAGCCTGTTCAGCCTTCAGAAGAGATCACTGAGAGGGTAATCTCATCAATGTATACAAGGAGCTCAAGGGAATGTCTCAAGGCTCTTCTCAGTGATGCCAAGCAACAGGACAAGAGCCAATGGGCAGAAACTGATGCACGGGAAGTTCACCAGAACTTGAGGAAAAACTTCTTTACCTTGTAAGGTCCCCAAAACCCTTGCTCAACATGGCTCTTAGAAGGGCTTACAGTTGTTCATGTAAACTCTGAGTTAGATGCACAGGACAAGTATGGACAAGATATTCTCAAGAGGTCAAAACAACTAAAAAATTTTGCTGGCAACTTTAGAAAATCAGAGAACTTTGGCAAAATATTTAGTGCAACCTTCAATCAATATAGAACACTTCTCAAAGCATTAACTTAGGAAACTCTGTTTGATGTTAAGTTACACAAAAATTCTGAGAAGAATTAGAAACAGAAAGACAGAAAATACATAGATACATAGATACATAGAAGAGGAGCCACAAAACTCCCACTCCTGGATTCCAGTGGCGTGCAGCTGATAGAAATTCCAAGAGGCTGTGGAGTCAAGACATGCTTGCCTCATGTTCCCCTTTAAACACCCCTTGGCCCTTCCCCCAGGGGGACTCCCAGTCATTTGGCCACTCAGGAGGTGGGAAGGGGCTCCAGGGGTGGGGGGTGCAGCTTTGCCTCCGGTGTGCCAGGGACTGGAGCCCCTGCCAGGCTGTGATACAGGCTCTGGGGTGGGGCTGTAGGGCAGGGCACTGCCTCACCAGGGCAAGGCTCCACCTGCCCCTTCCCCCACACACATGCACCCCAAAACATCTGGAGACATCAATTATTCCAGCCTCTCATAACTGTGAGGGTGACCAGGCACTGGGAAAGGCTCCCAGAGAGGTTGTGGGATCTCCATCACTGGAGATACTCAAGAACCAGCAGGATTCAATCCTGTGCCACATGCTCTGGGATGACCCTGCCTGAGCAGAGGGTTGGAGCAGATGACTCACTGTGCTCCCTTCCAGCCTTACCATTTTGTGTTTAACCCTTATTAAGCCTAATAACTTGTGCTTGTCACCATCTGTCCTGCTTACCAGTAAGCCCGTTGTGTAAATTACAGAGTATTTCTGTGATTCAATTCTGTTTGATGGGAGATGTTATAATATAATATTTATAGTGCAATTTGTCCAAAGATGCAAGGTCAATTCATATGCATATTAGAATTTTAACATTCTAGATTAAATGAGATATTAATTAAATGAAATAAACAGTGGTAAATTTATCTTAAATAGGGAACAGTTGTCTTTGTAAAATGCATCCTGAAGATATTACTTTGTCTTTTGCTTAGCTTGAGCACAGCAGGTAGCCAGGAACTAAACTATATTTTTGCACACATACTGTATTTTATTAGCATTAGCCTTTATGAACCCTGCTAACATTCACTGCACCATTTCTCCCTCCTTCTCATTGTAATTAGTTATTAGTTGTGTCATTATCTCCTTTGTGTGCAGCAGGAGCTGAATATTATGGGAGCAAGCATCCATTACCAGCTGGGACCTTCTTGTACTGATGTGCTGCTTTTCCTTGGCCTTACTTGGGCTTGATCCTTTATAGTGCTGAGGACTATTCTGAAAAATGCTGAGTGTTTTTTGTGTTTAACCACTTCAGCACAGGCGAACAGTGGGCAGCAGGCCCTTGGGGGTTTAATTCCTAGCACTATCACAGGGCCTAGGAAGGCTGAGAAAATTGCTCCCCTCCAGGGCCTAAGTGAACTCAGCTGTGAATGAAGTACAAGAACAATTAACAGCTCCTTCACAGAAGCAAAATTAGTCAATGCCCTAGAAGTAAGTAGAAGTCACCACGTTTGGGAAGGTGCTGCAAGTGAAATGGGAGGAGAGTTTGCACACTCCAGCTCTGCCATGAGCAGAGCCACCCTTCTGCTTATGTGGATGGTCTGCTTTGTCCTTTTTCTACTGAAAGATGTTTTTAGGAAACAATCAAAAAGGAGAGGTTTATGGTCCTGAAATCAAGCAGAACCAGACCTAACAGCCAGCAAACCTTGTCAGCAAATCCTGCACCTCTGTGATCAGATCATTACACAGTATGTGCTGCCACAACTTCTTTGTAGATCTAAGAAAAATTGCCTTGCACAGTGAGTACATCTGGCATTCTGTTCTTGATTTAAGAAACCTTAACAAAATAAAAAGCAAGAAGGCTAGCATTTATCTAATACTGTCCAAAACATCTGTATAAGAAAATAACACATTTTCAGTTTTCTTTAGCAGCACCAATTTCACAGCTGTTCTCAGCCACAGTTTTTACATGGTTTTGAACATTTGTATGTATGGGTATGGTGAATTTGGGTTAATGCTTATAAGCTTTCAGTAAACAGCTGCAATATGTGACTGGGATTTTGGCATGACTGCATCCTTAGATTTAATAAAATACTTTAATAAAGTACTTCTGGACTGGGAGGCTGGAGACTTGCAAAATATGGACAGAACTCAAAAAGAATCAAAAAGTCTCCTTTTCTGAACAGATTCAGTCCTGTTACATGAGATTCCTGCAGTATTCAGAACATACATGATAGGTTTGTCCTTAACCTGCGTGAGCCCAGAACTTTAAGGCAGGAAAGTCATTGTAAATACACAGTGAGTTTTGGAGCCTGTGGCATGGATGCTCAGGTGTCTCTCCATGGCCATTGAAGGTCACAAAAGGAGCATCCTCATCCCCTCAAGAGCCCATCTCTAAGCTTAAACCTTTCCAGGGTAAGAGTCAGGCTCACAGTGTGCTTTTCTCTGGCTTGTCTGACACCTCAGTTTTCCCCACATAAGGCATCAGCAACAGGTATAGATATTCAGCACTGAGTACAGGAGAACCACTCAAAGGATGAAAACTCCAAACCTGAAAAAAAATATTTGGAGGCTGAACATTCTTCTATCACTAGGCACTTTTACAGCTGTGAAAGCTTGGGAAAGGAAAATAATACTCTGGCTTAGAGGTAGAAATAAATTCTTGGCATCACTAAAGAGGCTAATTCAGAAGTTCAAGAAATAGTAAACTTTGAGAGCTTTCTGGAATGATTCTTCTTAAAAACATAAATCACAAAATTTTCTGAAGCTGTTTGGTGCAGTTAGGAATTATAACAGGAGGCTGACAAGAACAAAACCTTTGTTTCAATTGCAGTCTGAAGCAAAGTACTTTTTCTCCTGTCCTGTAACATGAAATAAGGTGGGGGCTGCTGCCACTATTTATGTAGCATAAGGAAAGAATGATTCTTGGAAAGCTGTTTCTTGCTCTGAACTGCCAATTTCTTTCCACCATAGTTTCTAGCGATGAAAAACTCCCCCTCCCACAGAGGGGAGCTGGAAATTCTTGTGCTCTAGTTCTGCTCCTGTAACTGAATTTTAGTTGAGTCCAAGGGGAACCTCTCTATGCTTTAGTTTGCCTCTCTAGGAAATATTTACTCAACTCTGAAAGCATGATATTCTTCTACCATATGGCATGCTGGCAGGAGTAATTATAAAAACAAATTCTTCAAAGGACCTTCTCTGGCAAGGAGGTTGGGCCACAGTTCTTAAGACTTGTAATGTACTGAATTTAATGCAACATATTTAAAAGGCATTTTTCTAGTTTCATTTTAAGATAAACAAGAAAAATTTAAAAGCATTTTAAGTTCCTGTTTGGTTTTTTTCAGATATGGCTACAGATTTGAGGAAGCAGAAGATAAGTACAAAGCATCAAGAGTCCCTTGGAAATGTCCTTCCAGTTCAGCCATGCCCCCTGTGCTAGAGCTATGTAATTTTTTAATAGCATGTGTTTGTGTTATGTATGATTTCTTCCCTGCCTTCCGTGGATACTCCTCCATATTCATCCTCCAGGCAGTTGTGGCTGCCTCTGCTACCAGCTTTGTCCTGTCCTATCCCTTGCTCACCCTGCAGCTGATGATGGCCCTGCTACAGATAGAATGGAATAGAACAGGGCACTTGAGTTGGAAGGGGCCAACAACAACTATCTAGTCCAACTGCTATAGATTGAAACTCTAAATATTTTCAGAGAGTGTTTGTGA